GGATACGCACTAGACATGGCAATGTCAACCGTAGCGTCAGAGAAAAACAGGGAATTATTACAAGGAATTGTTGTTTATCGGCAATGTGATTTACAAACAGTGACATCTCTGCGTGTTGTTTCACTAGTATTTCGAGGGCACGACCTCCTGAAAATCGCAAATATTATTCCCCAGCAGGAAGCCAGATTTTCACTATGCAAAAAATTAGTTCCCAGAGAGAGCGGCGGAAATGGAGCCTAGGTCTAGGTCAACACCTAAAAGGCGCTTGGCCTAACGTGAGTACGGAGTCAAAGTAGCCGGGAAATGAAAAACGTAACCATAGGTGAGTTTAGCACCTTCCTTAAAGTTAAAAAATCTAGGGAACAATTTCTTTTACGGCCAACTCCTTTTTACCCTATTTACGGCTAATAGTTAAAATTTTTCAATTTTTACGGCTATCGACTAAATTTTTGGCCGTTTTACGCCTATCGGTTAACCCCATTGAGACCTTCTTACTTTTCTCCTTTTGTGCTACAGACGACTTAAGTTCTTCACCGGAAGCAAGTTTGCTACGTGCATGACCACGTAGACTGCAAAACAGTCGGTTTTTTCTCAAAATCAGTAGAAAAAAAGGTAAACTGTGGCGTGAGAGTCTTACGCGCGCGAAGCGCTCGAGCCTTTGAGGCAAGAGGAAAAAAACCTTATTTTTAGCGTTTCTCCCCAGTCTTGCTCACTATTTTCAGCCTCGTTCCAGACCTTTTGTTTGACTGCTCGTGCGTACTTGAATACGCAAAAATACGGACTGTTTTGCAGTCTAATGACCCCGTGGCTTAATCCAATTCGATTATAATTTCTGTCATAAATAAATTGCGTACGACGAGATCTCATGATTTCCACTGCCTTTAATTCCTCTACAACAACACTTTCCTTAGGCAAAGTTAACTCCACACCTTCTCCAGCAACGTAACTAACATCAGCACACTCCCTTAGAAAACTTGCTGAAAATGCACAATCTCAAATCCATACCGAGGATAATTCATGTACAAGATCGCAAAATAAATTATTACGTGAAAAACAATAATAGTGACACGCAATACTAAAACAAGTATAAAAAAACCTACTCTTGCAAACAAATCGAAAAGAAAAACAATGATAATGATGCCTTTTCACAACGGTTACAGTCTGTTACGAAACCACGGTCCTGACTGCGTTTTGCTTCCCCTTGTTGACAATCTATATCATCACTTTTCGAATCGCGTCGTCTACATGCAACACAAACGACCGCACCTCTTTCTTTTGCTGCAATCTTCAATTCTCCAGTTGTCGAAATCTCTTCACTCTTAAACTTTATACGCATTTCTTTCGCCAAGCTTTTCTCCATGTAACTTGTGTAATCTTCACTTCCTAAAAACTGATTTCGTCTATTTGAGCATAACTAATGTATTTGACTGTCTCAATAATTTCCTTTCCTTAAGTTAAAGTTCGCGGACCAGCCCATTCCGAAAACGCCTTATTTCCTTTTTTGGTGTGGGTCTACCGCGAACAGTGTATGTGAAGTCGCCATATATAAACTTAACATACATATTTCAACAAAATATTGACTGCTTCCAGAAGCCGGCTCCTGGCGCTGCTTCCTCTTCTTCAATAGTCGCCCATTTCATCCCAACTTTCCAAATCACTCGGATAAAAAACATCCAACTCTTCCCTAATTGGCTCCTCGATTTCGCCCTGTAATGTTCATACTAGGTCAGCGGTTACTCTTCTAGTTATCCGATATGAAAGCTGTTTTTGTTGGATAATTCTAGTCTGTTTTCTGCCGTGGACATTGTATTTGGCGACGAGGATGTCTAACATCCAGGAAGGAACGCTAGCGGTTCCATCTTCGCAAAACTCTACGGCTCCTACGGCAGCATCTCCAACACAAACGTTGCCAACACAAGCTGTTCAGCATTCGACGTCCGGACCAAAGGACATCAGAGTGCAAGCACTTATCGCTGACTCGGACCCCGATGAAACTGGTCGTCGATGGAAGAAGTGGAAAAACGAGCTGCTCACCTCGATTCCGATATTTTCGTATCTCAAGCACTCAGGATCGTAACGACGCTTTTCACATTTACGGAGGAGATCGAATACGGGAATTGATTGAATCTCTTGAAAACGCTCTATAACCGTCATCCGCCTAGAGTCTAAACGAGTACGAGAAACTCATCGCCAAACTTGACAACCATTTCATTCCCATGGTTAACCCCGACGGAACGTGTATTAAATTGGAGAAAATGTGCCAAAACGAAGCCGAATCGGTCGCTCAATATCACGTTCGTTTACGGCTTCAAGTTGCAAAGTGTGGTTTCTTGGACCCTGATGACGTCATCCGAAGCAAAATTCTGCACACCATGCGTGACAAAAAACTCCGCCAGGAAGCAATGATGAAAAGGTAGACGTTACAGCAATTATCGGCACATGCTGCAAATAAGGAAGACGTTGACCTCCAAGCCCAGCGTATGGAGAAAACTCTCCCTTCTGTACCCCCTGCATGAAATCAGGTCAACAGAGTGTATCAGAAGAGACATCAGAAACCCAAGGACAAACTAAAACCTAAACCGACACATGATGACAAGAAGAGCAATTCCTGACAATTTTGTGGGTTGGACCACAAAGGGCCCCGATCACAGTGCCCAGCCTCTGGGAAAACATGCGGTTGCTGCTCGAAGGAGAGTCATTTCGCTCGAATGTGCAAAAGTAAGAAGAAACCAAAGGACTCACAGCACAGTCAGCAATCTTCAGCCAAGTATGTTAGGCAGGAGGAACAAGAAGAGTCATCAGACACTGATTTTGCATTTCAGCTCCAAGCAGACAAGTCAAACTCACTCACACACTCAACCATGCTACGGTTCAGGTTTGCATTAGCGGGGTGAAAGGAAAGATGGAAGCAAACTCCTGCTTCACAGCAAACATTATGGATGAGCACAAATTCTAGAAGCTCTAGTCCGCCCTCGAGGAGAAGATATCTTTGAAACCTACTGACACCAAGTTGTATGCATTCGCTCAAAACGAACCTGTCCCCCTCGTTGGTTGTTTTGATGCAGAAGTTGAAGGTGTCAGCACAGGAAAGAAAACTATGACACGTTTCCTTGTTGCTAAGGGAATTACCAAGTCTCCACCTCTCTTGAGTCTTGATACTAGCGTAAAGCTAGAACTATTGCATGTGATTAACGTCACCCACGAGGAAGCCAAACAACTCACAGAAAGCTGTACTGGTACCTCGTCCACAGACCCTGTAGTGTCAACGCTGATGTCAGAGTATCGTGACGTATTCTTTGGCCTGGGAAAGCACAAGCACATCAAGGCAAAGTTGATTGTGGATGAAAGTATCCAGCCTGTCGCACACAGACAGAGACGAATCCCTTACAATTTAGCTCAAAAAGCTGCACATGAGGAACTGAGATTAAGGGAGCAAGGAGTCATTGAAACAGTACCCAACAAGCAACCTACTACTTGGTGTACAAATCCTGTGATAGCGCCTAAACCTCACAATCCTGAGGCCATTCGTTAATTTGTTCAGACATGAGAGTACCACACACTGCAATTCTGCGCCCTTTATGTCTTCCACTTACTGTGGAAGACATAAAGTTCAAACTCGAGGGTGCCACTGTCTTCAGTCTCCTTGATATGAATGAGGGCTACTAGCAACCTGAGCTCGATGAAAGCAGTAGGCACATGACCACCTTTTACGGAACTGAGGGTAAAATGAGGTACATAAGGCTGAATTATGTAACAATCTCTGCACAAGATATTTTTGACAAAGCAATGGACGACACCATCTCAGGGCTACAAGGTGAGCTCTACATGCGAGATGATTTCATAGTCTTTGGTAGAGACAACACAGAACATGACACAGCCCATGAAAACCTCCTCCAACGATTCCGAGAATGCGGTCTCACCTTCAACCCAAAGAAATGCAAGTTTCGTCTGCCTCAGATTGAATTCTTCGGTTTTGTGTTCTAAAAAGAAGGAATGAAGCCATCGCCAAGAAAAGCTGAAGCCCTGAAACAAATGGACCCACCCAAAAATGTATCAGAGGTGCGCTCTCTTTTGGGTATAGTCCCGTACTCCGCAAGATTTATCTCCAACTTCGCAGAGATGACCACGCCCCTGCGCAAGCTCACTCACCAAGGGCTCAAATTAATGGTGTTGGTCCAGCACAGAGCAAGCAGCATTTGACAAACTCAAGTACACACTATCTAGTGACACTGTCCTCGGATACTATGAAGCAGGCTTGGAAACAAGGCTCCGGCCCCAATGGTCTTGATTAGTTCTCCTGCAAAGGAAACCGGAAGGGTGGAAAGCAGTTGAGTGTGCTAGCCGAAGCCCGACAGAGGTTGAGAAACGGTATCCTCAAATCGACCGTGAAGCCCTTGCAATCCGTTGGGCCTGCGAACACTGCTACCTGTACCTTGCTGGAAGTTCATTTGTCATTGAAACTGATCACCAGCCCCTGCTACCGCTCTTTAACAATTCCCATAGCAGACCTCCCATAAGAATTGAACCCTGGCTCTTATACGTGCAGCAGTTTGACTTTGAATTGAAATACTGCCCCGGAAGAAAGAACGCAGCTGACTACCTTTCAAGGCACGTGATCCCTCTCACTGAGAGTGACACTAAAACCTGTAACGCGCGAGAACAGGTTGTACATAGTATCATCACGGTCACAGCTCCCCAAGCCATCTTACTTGTTGAAGTTCAAGATGCAACAAAGAGGGACCGAGAGCTCAGCAAGCTCATCCCACTCATCCAGGCTGGCAATCGTAACGCTTGCAAGGCTGATCCAGACCTTATGAAGTACGCACAGGTGTTCCAAGAGCTCAGCCACATAGAAGGTGTTGTAACCCGTGGCCACCAGATTGTCATCCCTAAAAGCTTGCAGGAGCGTGTCATTGACATATGCCATGAAGGGCACCTGGGAGTTGTTAAGACTAAACAGCTTCTACCCTCAAGAGTGTGGTTCCCAGGAATCGATAAGCGCGTGGAAAGGGAAGTCACTAGTTGCATACCTTATCAAGCGAGCATCAACACTTCACAACAGGACCCTAGAAAGATGTCGCCCACCCCAAATGAACCATGGCTGGAAGCTTCAGCTGACTTCTGCGGACCCTTTCACACTCTGGAAATGGTTTTGGTTGTCCTAGACGCCTATTCAAAGTATCCTGAGGTAGAGATTGTTTCTAGTACCGCAGCAGGGAATGTCTTTCCAGCACTGGAACGAATCTTCGCAACCCACGGGATACCAGAGGTCCTGAAAAGAGACAATGGACCCCCGTTTCAAGGCCAGGCTTTCCATGAGTTTACCATGAAAAAGGGTTTCCTCCACAGGAAAATAACAACTTTAAGGCCGGAAGCTAATGGCCATGCAGAAAACGTAATGCAGAATCTTTGGCAAGGTCGCAAGAACCGCACACAGCCAAGGGAAAGATGGGAGGAGAGAGTTATATGTGTTTGTAGCCTACTATAGGGCTACACCTCACCCAAGCACAGGGAAAAGCCCTTACAAGTTATGCATGAACCGAACAGAGAGTACCAAGCTCCACACCATCCCACAAGTTAATCCTGATGCTGAAGCCATGCAGAAGGACCAAGAAGCGAAGGCGCGTATGAACGCCTACGCCGACCTCAAACGTCGAACAAAGCCTCAGTGCCTGAACGTCGGAGATCACACTCTCGTTAAGCAGAGAATTCAAAACAAGGCAAGCCCTCGTTTCGAACCAGTCTCGTATACGATCCTAGATGTTAAGGGATCTATGATCACTGCTAAGAGAACAACTGATCAGAAGTTAGTTACCCGTAACAGCTCCTTCTTCAAGAAATTGCCAAATCCACTAATGGAAGTCATCCAAGAATCCAGTCCAGTACCTCAGGTGGAACTACAAGCCCCGCTTGATTTTGATGGACCAGAATCCATTGAACGCACTTAAATGCCTGCTACTCAAGAAGAGTTTTGTCAGGTTACCCCAAGTGAAACCAGCCTGTGAAAGACAACCACCTGCCTACCACAGTGGAACAACCATCATCACCTGCCCTCTTCTCCCGCAGTGGAAGGCGAATCAGGAAACCGGAATGGACCAAGGACTGTGTTATGGACTAAGGACTTTGCTATGACAATAAGTTGAACTTTGATAACCTAGTTTTCTCTTGTTGATCAGAACTGTCAGCTCTGCATGGCACTGAAAATTTTCGGTTATTTGCTGTTATTTGTTTATTGTCATTTCGTTTTCGCGAAATTTTTGTTATTTAATTTTTTCTTTCTTAATCATCCGGTTTATATCTACCTGGGGAGAATTCTAATGTTCATACTAGGTCAGCGGTTACTCTTTTAGTAATCCGGGCACTTGGTTTTTGGAGAGACCTTCACTACGAACCACGTGTGAGATTTGAGTCTTCGTGTTTACCGAGATTAAAGCTGTTTTTGTTGGATAACTCTAGTCTGTTTTCTTCCGAGGACATTATACGCCCTACACAATAAACCAATCAGAAAATAAAATCACAGAAGCAGCAACTTCAGATGACCTTTCAGGAAACATGCTCTTCAAATTGTCTATCTCTGATTGGTTTATTTCGATCCTCTGCTTATGATCTCTTCTCACCACTGTAATAACGTAAACGAACCATTTTTGAGCTACGCACTTCAAGCGGAACTGAAAGCTTTTCTCTCAATAATAAGCATCGACATTTCCAATTTTGTATTGCTAATATCTTTACTCTTATAAAAAACAATTTGCTCAAAAATAACGTTTCACGAATGCCGAAACTCGAATTCCTGTCTCAATCAGTTTCCTACAGTGTAAAAGGCCAAAATAACTAATCGTCGCACGCCGACTGTTCGGATTTCTGCAGCAAAACATTAACTTGCCGCTCGCCCAAAAGTGAAAAAAAATTAAACTTACAAATCAACCATCTTTTACTTTTCTGCTACAATCTCGTCTCCGCGATCTAACGGGGCAAGGATAAGTAAAGGGCTAACAAAAAATATTTCTTTCTTCCTCAGATAAACTAAACAACTCGAGCTGATCTCGAGATATCGAGATATCTCGAACAACTTCCGGCCTCACCTCGGAAACAAAATGCAAGCTTAGGACATTAGTCGAAAGAACTAGAAGTGATGTCGCTATATCTCCAACTCATTCCGATGTCTCTACGTCAAATACCCAAAAGTAACAAACTTGCGGACCGAATCTTTATTAAACCGTACCTCATGCACAACTTATGGCTGTTTTTCACATCTCAAATTACCTTCCGTCCCAGTGGCGCAATCGGCTAATCCCTAGCCTGCGAACAGCAGACGCATTTCCGGTCGTCGCTTCTCTCCCTATTTTTCGGAGGGAGAAAAGCGACGACCGGAAATGCGTCTGCTGTTCGCAGGCTAGCTAATCCCTCAATTTAGAGTCTCATCTGATCTGACGGTCCGGGGAGGGTACTCCCTTATGAGATGGATGGGGTACAATTTCACGACTGGATTGACTATAATGG